TCAGAAGTTCTGAATCAGAACTTCAATCAAGAAAACTACGTAGATTATACGAAAGACGAAAAAAATGAAAGCTTTGGATCCTGAAGAAACACGAGAAAAATAGAAAATACTGAGAGGCCACACTCGTTACAATTGCTGGTAATGTGATAGGTGGGGGACATTAAAATTTTTGCTAGCAAATAACTTCGAATCCAGGCTAAGCAGAGACTAATAGAGAATCTCAAGCGCTACTAGAATATATAATTATTTTTCTAAAATGTATTTGTATATTCATAATAACTTAAAAAAAAACACGACTGAAACCGGCTTTATTTCAGGCGGATATATGTTAGCTTTTTTTCTTTGCCTGACTAGTAGGGTAAAAACAAAACAAAATGGTAAACTATGAAAACGACACAGGAAAGATAGAAACACTTTCAATCCTTCTCCAAATTCAGCACTTCATCCTAAAAATATCTATTCATTAAATCTAAACTCAAGATATAAAAATAATTATCTATTAGATAATTGGCAGATTTTAAGAGACATGAGAGCACAGCACAGGCTTTTGTTTGAAAAGGAGGGAAATGGCAAAACTCCGTTTCGGATATAAACTTCAATTCTTCAAGTTTTCGAAATTTTTGGACGAGGTTTAGAAAACAATAAATAGTGTGAAGAATAATTAGTTAATTATTGTTATATAAACCATAAAGCATATAAAATAACAGCGTAAGCAGCAATGACCAAAAAAGCATTGTTGTAGTCGAAGCGAAAAAGATATTGTAGAGTAGAAATTGTTATCATAAACACGCACACGCACAAACACACGCACACATACATGTAACCATTATTAGTAGATTGAATTTTGATTAGAAAATAAACGTCAATCTATCGTCTATAACATGCATTTTACTTTTCTCTCAAGTTTACCATTCCGCATTGTCCGTTTGAACATAATCAGCTCCAATTAAGGTTCCACAATCAGAAGATTGTTGATGATGATTTCGATTAGTTTTATCGAATGCCGAAAACATAATCAACTGCTGTTTTTTTCCACCATCATATGAGCACTGAGATGAAATACTTTTTGAACGAACTACGGATATATTTGGTGAATTAGGTAAACTATTAGTCATATTATTATTCTTATTATTATTACTGCTGCTGCTAGTACTACTGCTATTATACGATTGTACAATATGCCTAATAAACGGGAATAATTGCGCTATAGAACTTGTTAAACTTGAACGCTGAAAAAATTCAAATTAAATGAATGATACGATAATGAAACATACCAGGTATCATAATCACATACTGAAGGAGGTTGAATGTTTTTCTGTGGTTCACCATCTAACATACATACACCGATAAGTGTGGCTGGTACAAGACCAATTTCATTTGAACGTACATTTTTCACCTTTAAAAAGAAAAATTAGAGATATTTCAATTTCGCAAATTATGAAGAATATTAAAGTAACCAAACCTTCCACAATATTTCATCATCATCTTCCAGAACTTCTAACTCGTCACCTTCAACAACATTGATAAAATGTTCAGTTTGTCGATTAAAATTAAATTTATTTCCATTCGATGCACCATCATAGTCAAACAAGGCATACACTCGATCTAAAAACGATGAGAAAATTAATGATGATGATGAAATCAAATAAAACGCAAGACTTACTTTGATGAATATTTGATCCAATTGAAAAAGCTTTTGGAAGTTCAATAGAGCCTCGATCAAAACTTCGAATTCGTTCAAGAGATGCTTAAAAAATAAAAGAAAATCATTTACTTGCATCATTTGAAGAATTATATTGTAGTTCTATACCTCTCAAACTACAATGTGTCACTTTTTTAATACATTCACGATGAACTTTTTTTCGACAACTACTACATTCATAACCTTGATAAAACAAACCACTAAAAAACAACAGAAAGATGCGTTTATAATAATTATTGATAGTAAAAATCAACGAAAATTTTTTTGCTTTTTCTTATCTTCTGTTCACTGGTGAAAAATATAATATTGCATTGAAAAAAACGTAATTGATTCGACAGAAGTTTTGGGAGAAATTCAGATACAGATTACGATTTCTTAATCCTTTTTTAGATTTTTGCAACTGTTGTCGAGGTATTTATAACAACACTATAGCGGATGCTGTTTTTCAGGTATTCCAGTAACAGTACGGTACCAAGGATTCAGAAAAGGAGATTCGGAAATTTTAATTTAGACCTAAATATCCCTGAAAATTTTTTAACCAATCAATTGAATTTTTGTAACTCAACAAAAGTGCACAAATTAAAAAACTTTTTTCATTAGTTTATCCCTAATTAGAAAAACATACCACAAATAACGATTACATGAATCACATCTAGGACTTGTCTCTTCAAATGATTTCATTTGAAAATAATGTTTATTTTCAAATAATTCAGGACTCGAGCATCCATCGCTAATATGACAAGAAGACAAAAGAATATATTAGAAATCAAATTCTACATATAAAATGAATTTAAAGTTAGCTTACATAGCGCCTCTTAAATGTTTCAGCCAATCTGTACGTTTGTCTTCTGTTTTAGCAACAAATTTGTAATCACGTTTTTGTTGTGTATCACGTAAAATGAATGGAAACTACAATAAAAAAGAATGATATAAAATTAGTGTAAATCGATGATATTTCGTATAAACCTCTCGTTTTGTTGCACGTAATTCTTCTATCTGACATCCATGAATAAATAATGCAGCACGAAATGTATATTTCTCACTACCCTTTAAAAATCGAAAAGGAAACCATCTATCAGAATCGACTGACATTGATTTCACATACTTTAACTTTACAAATTAATAACACACGGTCGAATAGAAAAACCGTTCTAAAAATAAAAATGATAAGTCCAAGAAAAAATAGATAGTTAAATGTTCTATAGTAAAAATAAACCTACCTTGTACCACTGCGATGACCATTATCGTATACCTGAAACTGTTCATCAGAAATAAAGCGGCCATAGTTTCTTAAACTTCTTTCGGACGGCTAAAAAGAAAACAAGTGCATATATACTGACTTAAAATATTGCGAATACATACAAGTTGAATGTCACATATTGTCTTTTCAATATTCCGAATTACTTTCAAATTATCATGTGCACGTTTTGCTTCATTTATATATTGATTGACATCCTTTAATAAAATAAAAGAAAAAAATACATTTGATGAAAAATCGTCGTTTTGACAATAAATAAATTATTCATAAATAAAAAGAAATTCAAAACTTCGAGTACAGCGTAGTAGTAAATATTTGAATACGAACCGTCATTAGATTTTCTGCTTTTTCTAATAGTTGTCGTTTCATTTCGCAACTGGGATCCGTCGGTGGTACGTTCTTTTTCATGGTCTAAAAATCGCATGAACGTCTAAAAAGTGTCGAAGGTTATAAATGAATATCTTACATGTAAGAGTAAAGAATATTTCACAATACGTTGGAAGGGTAACACAACTGTATCACGTAATTGAAATTTTCCTAAATCACCAGATTTTTGTCGACATTGCTGAAAAAGAGGACAATAATAATTTAGATATATCATACAAAATATATGAGACATACTTCTAATTTTTGTGAAAATTGTGGTTCAGTTTTTATTTTTCGATCTAAATATTCTTGCGCATCGGGTAATTCTGAACAATATTTTGCCTAAAATGATTCAGAGGTCAACATCATACTGTCAAAAACTAAGGGAAAAAAGTAGATGAACATTACATAGATTAAAAAACGATCTTGCCACATGGTAAATAAATCAACAATTCTTGATGTACGCCCTTTTTCATTACGTCCGGATTTTTTCAAATCTTCATAGAATTCTGAATGAAGTTTATAAATATCCTATGACAAAATATATATAATTAAAGAAACTTATGTCAAAAATAGAAAATTCATATACTTCAATATTAAGAAAGATTTTTTTCTTCTCATCTGATGATAAACTTAACGGTTGAATAAAATTCTAGAAAATAAAAAGCAAAATGCTTGAAGAATAGATCCACAAAACTATATTGCCTCTTACAGTTACAATTGCATTTAATGAATCACGATAGTTTGCTTCCGTATCCAATAACTCTTTAACAGCATGATCACGTGGTAAGAATGCTCTTTGATTATCCTAGAAACAAATTATCATTTAACTAATGCATATTTCAATAATCACAGAATAAAGCAACACTTCGTTAGTCAATAAAATACATAAGCTCATGAAAATATCAATATAAAACAAAAGACAGACTGCTAGGTTATATCGTCAATACACACAGCAAAGCTAAGGCACAAGCAAAATATGAAACATCTTTCGATAATAAACAGAGCAATTATTAGAAGAGAAAAGGAGAACATGCGAAACAAGAACACTCTTAGCAGGCAAAAACTTTTTTATTTAGTTAGTTGTTCATAAGAGATATTATCTAAACTTTTTCAAAAGACGCGTTTTTTGCACAGGGACAAAGTTGTTTCTCTACCTGACAAGAAGTTATATTAATCGATCGTTTTGGCTGTGCACATAACGCCTCATAAACATCCTCTTGAATGCTGACATGAGATCCATACACTCCACAATCATTTGTTATTGTATATGGTAACGAGGATGTTGAAAGGCGATGAGAGGGTGAGCAAGATTTTCTTGCAGAAGCTAAAGCGGAAGCAGCACATGCAACAATTGGTGATAACAATTGGCAGTTGGATATTGGCAATGTTGAATTTAATGATGAGCAAGCTATGCTAGAATCGATTGGAGATGTAAATTTTGATTGTATCGTTGTAGGTGAATTGCGACAAAAGTGACACATCAATTGCTCTTGTTGATGTATAACATTGTTTAATGGTGATGAAACAACAGATGATATTCTAAGAAAAAGCACACAACTCACAAACAAGCATAAGCCGTGCAGAAAAAAGCCGCACAAGAAAGCAATAAAGTTTTAGTTGTTAACAAAATAATAGCAAAAATAATTTTATATTAGAATAACACACTAGGTAGCAAAAAACATGAAAATACAGGCTCATCTTGCTATAGCGCGCACCCGTTTTTTTTCAATTAGGCGACCATAGATATTATTTTGTTCAGCCGCATGGGCTACTACGTCTGGTGAAGCATAATACAATGGTATTCGACCGCCGTCGTCTTCTATATCTGAACTGGAATAAAAAGAAACTCGGATAATTTTTTAGTTTACTATTAGTAAAGAGATCCAATCAAATTAATAAATGTGGCAACGCTCTCACTTTTCGAAATATTACTCATTCGGGGTGATTATGAGTTTAAGTATTCATCACACAAATGTTCATTATAAGACATTATCTAGATCAAAAGTACACTGCTCAACTTACTGAACTGGCACAGCATCATCTAAAGATTTTTCTTTTGGAATATTAACATAATTAAAAGGTCCAGTAATGGGAAATGGCCTAAAAGAGAAAAAATAGTTACTTAACAAAATATCGCTTAGAAATTGAACATTTTAATGAAAATACCTACGTCAGCTTTTTTCGTTTTGCAGCGTCTGTATTGGATAATTTTGACAACGTTTCGACAACCTACAGAAAAGAAACATGAGAAATATGATAATTCGCTCCTATAGATAGAATCAACATTCTTTATTTAGATCATATTTGTCAAATAGCATGTATGGATCAAACAAGTCACGATCACGAAAGTTGAATTCTCTTCGACATGTTTCCAAAAATAATCGAATATTTTGTAAACATAAAAACTAAAATTGAAAGAAAACAATCAACAACGTTGATTTTGAAGACAAACAAGAGCATACTCGACTACGTTGTGGACGAAACGACACATCGGTGTGTTGAACACAGCCGGGTTGTAGAAAATTCAATAAATTACATAAAACAATTCCTGAAACGAATAAAATGAAGATTAGAATCTATCATAATAAAAGTCTGTTAAGTCAATGATTACCATTGGACAATTCATTAGCTAAATCATCAATTGTTGCTGACGGTGAGTTTAATATCGCCAATGCTTCTGGTAAGACATCGCATTCGCTTAACCAACGAGCGCATTGTCGATAAACAGGTAATGTCACACAATTGTTAGTATTGCTCATACTGAATGTTTAGTTTTGTATATATCCATTTTTTTCAGAAAAAACACCAATATAAGCAGCATCCTGTATACTCTCAAAAAAAAAAATCTAAACAGTACATTAGAATAGAATTAAAATTTCTTTGATAGATTCAAGAAATATTTACGATAATAGTGAGTCTCTGAAATAGTTTTAGTTCTACAGAATATTAAATTGTTATACCCAAGAACCGAAGAAGTATTTTTTTGTACGAAATGTCAAATAGCATGAGAAAGTAGAGAAAAACAAGTTGGCTGTACTACTCCTTAAACAAGCATAGTGTTATCACGCTAAGTTCGATCGCGTACACCTAAATTATAATATCAGGTTGAATTTAAATTAATAATCTTTTCCCTTTTTTAATTATTCTTGCAATTAAACAAAGAGTCATATATTCGACAACTGATATTATATGTCGTTTTGAGTGACTCAACCATATTCACCAATGAGAACATCGTGTTCATCCTCTTCAGTTTAAGTTTTTAATTGAATGCATGCATGACAGAAGTTCTGCATAGACAAAGAATGGGTTCGTTTTTCACGGCTGATCAGTTATAGGAATAATTTTCTCTAAACTCCTAAAAAAACTGAATCGTTTTAGATATTGCAAACTACCGAATAAAAGGGAAGTTTTCGAAAAATTAGTAAGAGCTAACGTTTAGCTAACGGTTTTCTTACTCTTCCTTATATTACATATCTCGAATGAACAGCTTTTTCTTTTTTTGGTATATCCCGTTCGCTAAAGACTAGATGATCACTTAGATATTGCACGGTTTAAGCTTCAAACGCTTTTTTTGTGGTGAAGGTAAATTACAAGATTTCTGAGCAAGTTCTCAATAGTGAACTGTAATGAATTGTATTATTTTGACCAAAAAATTATGACCTGGAGTTAGATGGCAGCAGAATTGCAGCTTCCCGTGTAACATGCTCAGCAATAATTGATTTAAAAACAAACCATGCAAAACAACTCGAATTAAAGTTATATAATGATATTTATCGAGAGACACTAAGAGGCGCCTGATATATATATGACACTGAAGATACTGAAAACAATTTAGTGGATAAATCTTTTTGTCAGCCATGGGCTCAACAGAAGGATAAACGATATTATGTATATTGATGTTTCAATGACTGGTAATATTGATTCTGCGACCATTGAAATTTAATAGAATAATGAGCATGAGTTCTGTAGTTACCTTGCAAACTAGGCAGTCGTCTGTACGTATTAACTTTAGCGTAGCGTGAAACACATACTTTAAGTAACACAGTGGATATTTACAGCTTAGAGTCTTCGCTCAGCTTAGAATAGATCGAAGATTTAGAGAGAGAGAATTTGTGCTGTCGACTGTTAGTGTTCTACTTCCTTTTATAGGTTTTTATTTACTGTAACTGACATTTTCTGTTTTCTTTGTATCCTATGATTTTTATATATTGTTTAGAATAAAGTCTGTCGTTCGTTGTCTTTCATCAGCATGAAAATTTGAGTCCTTCATACGCGATTGTTTTTTGAACGAAAAAATAGCAAATCGGGAGGTCGACGCAGTAAGACAAACAATACTGATCTAAAAATTGACAACTGACCTAACTTCTCTGGCACTGACCTAACCAGTTAAATACGTACATAAATCATAATACTGCCGTTAATATGTTGGAGTCTGACTGGCAGAAAAATATTACAATGTTTGAAGAAATTTGTTTGTGGTTGTTTTTCTTAGTAGATAATATTGACAAATATTCTAACAAATTTTTCTCTATTCAATATGTCAGTGTAAGTGTCAGAACTTCTGTTTATTGGTTTTTATGAATATTTATGCTTTTTTCTGATATTAGTGATTATAACAATCATCTATCATCATCGCCAGTGGCAAGATCTCGTTCAAGATCCCGAAGTTCAAACAGAAATTCTCGATCATCTTATTCCCCTCCCCCACCAATACAACATCAACGTGATCATAATAAACAACGTAATAACAACAATAATGATCGTCGTGATTACAACAATCAATCAGCACGTGGACGTAACAGAACGAATGATCGACAACAAAATTCAACACAAAATTTTTCAGATCGTGATCTTGGTTTAAAATATCGGTATGAAAATATGACAATAACCAATTAATTTAATGCTAGTCTGTTTTTGATTCATTAGGTGGGAAAAAACTGTGTTTGTTAGTAATGTTCCATACGATATAAGATGGACAGCGTTAAAAGATTTATTTCGTACTGAAGGTTTATTACTTATTTCTATTTTAATAGCATGAATGTTAAACAATGTTTTTTCTGTTTCAGTTGGAGAAGTTATGTACACAGAAATATTTGAACGAGATGGGAAATCACTTGGATGCGGGTAATGTCTACTTGTCACTGTTTGCATATCTGAGTGCTTAACAATTTTTATATCTCTTAAGATCAATTGAATTTCGTACAGCTGATGAAGCCAAACGTGCTGTGGAAAAAATGCACCAGTACGAATTTAATGGACGAAAATTATCTGTGAAGCTGGTGAGGTTCTTTCATGTGTGTATATAGCATTGTTTTTGAAAAAAATACCTTTCGGCATTTAGGATGAAGAAGGTTATCGTACTCGTCGATCGAAATATCAAGCGCTTGAAGGAAAATTATCACAGAAAAGTAATACATTGACATCTAGTTCGTTGTTATCGGGACTCGGTTCAAATTTCTCAAGTTTACAAACGTTATCTCAATCAAATCAAGTTGCTGGTACAGTTTTATCTTCTTCATTATCTTTCAATTTATTAAGATATTGATTTTCGAAATCTTATGATTATCTCTACTTTTAGGTCTCGGCGGCATTGGTTCATCATTATCTGGCTATTCTTCTCTTGCTAACATTCCTCAGCATGTTTTACAACGTCTTGGCATCGAAGGTCCAATTACAAACAAAGTCTTTGTCGCAAATGTAAATAAAGAAAACTGATAAAATTGAGAGACTATTTCAAATGATATTTATGTTTAATTTCAGTTGGATTTTCGTTGTGATGAAAATAAGGTTCGTGATGTATTTGCATTAGCTGGACGTATACGTAATGTGACACTAAAGAAAACAAAAGAAGGCACAAGTCGTGGAATGGCCATTGTTGAATATGAGCATCCATTAGAAGCAATTCAGGCCGTATCGATGTTTAATGAACAACAATTATTCGATAGAAATATGGCAGTTAAAATCGATTCAAAAGATGAAAAAGATGATTCGAGACCAATGAAATTGCCAAGTATAGTTTGTCACAAAATTATATTTTTTAGCTATTTTTTTTAACTTTTCCTTCAGGTGGGTTGAAAGGTATTGGTGCTGGATTGGGAATCGGAGGACATCCTCTTCGAAATGTTAATAATTTATCTAGTAAGGATAAATAGTGTACACGTAACAATCTTTGTACTAATTCAGTGAAAAATGGCGGATATTTACATATTATAATTTTTATATTTAGATTCCGGACCACTAGAGTCATCTCTTCCACAACTAAATCAGAATCCACTACAAACTCTTTCTCCAAGTGTTCCTGGTTTGTCGCATTCTTCTTTCATACTTTAACAGACGTCTTTATTTTCTGCAGTTTATTAGATTATATGAACCACAATGATCTGAGTGCATTGAACGCGTTGTCACAGTTATCACCAAGTGCTTTGAGCGTTTTAAATGCATTAACTAGTTCGTTTGGAAATAATGCGTTAAGTGCTCTTGCAAGTAAGTCTTGTAGTAGAGAAAGATAGTCGGAGTATGAAGGTCTAATCTTCATCAAAAAGTATCCTTTTCATCTTTATTTGCTTATTTCAGGCCTTCAATCAGCCAGTTCCGGTCTTAATTCGTCATTAGGAACAGATAATTACTCTAACAACTCGAGTTTACTGGGCTCTGGTAAAGATTTCTTACTTGAGTAGTGATGTTGTAACACTATTAATCTCGCTCTCTTTCTTGCAGGTTATTCGTCCATAGGAGGATTTTCTGGTTTTTCCGGTGGTTTGCCTAGTGGAACACAGTTATCTTCTGGTTAGCAGGTGTAATAATTGATTCATTTGATTTTTAGTGATTTTTCTCTTTTTTTAGCAGCTGCATTAGCCAAATTTTATAATGAAGACGACAGTCAATCGGTGGCTGCTCGTCTTAACCAACAAAATGCAGCTTCTCAATTACAACGTCCTTCTTCTCACCAAACTCAATCAAATCTTGGAGGAGGACGTCTTCCACCACAACAACAATCATCATATACTGGTACGCGTCCACCAGGTGGAAATAATTATGAACGATCTCGTCGTAGTTCACCATATCATTGAGGAGAAATGTCATGTTGCTCATGAGGGTTGTCTCTATGTTGTTGATGTTGACTATCTCGCACTTTTCGTTGCTTTATGTATATGGACACATTATTATTTAAACAAACACATACTTGGATTGTTTATGTTTTTAGGGCAGTAATCATCAGTTTCTTTTTTTTGTTCCTCTCTTTCTCTCTCTGTTTCATTTTGGGTAAGATTGATTTGAACTGGTAGTTCTAACCAAATGATTGTTTACTTTCAATTAGATTATATAAGGTTGTCTGAAAGACAGTTTCAAACATACTTTTTTTCCTATGTTTTGTTATAGACTTGCGTCATTATTGTATGTGCTTTTTTTGAAACATTTGTTGTGTATGAGTCTATATCTTGCTCGAGTACGAGAAAATAAATATTCTTTGTTCATTGTTGAATAGTTGAATTCGTTCGCTCCTTTTCTTTCTTTGTTTTCGATCAGTCGTGATTGAATGAACGTCAAGACATTGGCCAATGTATGTTTGTATTCAAACGGATGATTTGAACGACGAAAACTTATTCATTAGTCGATAAATTAGATTCACAAATTTGGATAAAAATAGTGATTTCACGTTGTATGCCGAATTAGTGAGTGTTTGTTGGATTTGGACGAAAGATTCAAAGATGCTGGATTGAAAACAACTTTAACTCATGTAATACCATTTCATATATAATCAAAAACTTTGTTTACATTCAGAATCATGGTATTGAAAAATGACTGTAGATGTAATAACGTATTTTCTACAATTAGTATGTTCTAGCTCGTAACATAACAAAATCGTCAGTAAGATGTAGAAGGTTTAAATACTAGATAGAAAGTATTTTATTAAAATTAGATTGATTACAATAAATAAAATTGATGAAAAAACTTTGTTGTCAGTAGTTCTATCGTGAGTGGTACTCTCTAAAACAATGTAAATTTTCGATTGTAGGACAGCTTATGGGTGTCGAGGCAATAGTCTGAAAACTTTTAATTCCAAGGAAATAGATGTGCGAAAATGTTTTTGAGAACGGTGTGAATAAGCCTAGAAGTGCTGGTAATCGAGATCGATCATAAAACTGATTATTTTCTAATTTTTTGTAAATCTATTCTAACTGGGATAATTTTGGTTTGTCTTCTCACTTCCGAAACAAATATAACTAAATTTTAAGCTGCTTTTTGCTAGTATCTATCAATTATATTTAGTTGGTTGTGTTTATGAATTGCAGTATTTTTATTGACCATATTATCGACACACATCCTATATTGCAAGTTTTTGTTCAATGCTTTACGTGTTTTTTTTTTCCATTCTTTAACAAATTTCTTGCTTGAGCAGAATATGCTCTATTTTGGCAAAATTAATCTGTTGTAAAAATGGATTTGTTTTAACGAGACTACTTCATTGTTAATAATATGATTTATATTAATCGTTACAAATGTTAAAATTCAATCAAAGACGTTTAAAATTTGTCTTATGGACATTACTTTAGATTTATGTCAAGTCAAATCAATTTTGATGTGTTTAGTATATTGACTTCGTGAAAAAAAAGCTATTTGTAAGTACGAATATAATAGAATATTTCTAATCGTCTTTTATCCTAGAATTAAAAAGTCTATGAAACTCTGATTGACATTGATGTTGATCTGGTGGGAAAAAAAGGCACATTCAATCACCGTTTCATTTCTTATGGTTTTATATGTCGTTAGTTTCTTTTTTTCCAAAGTATTCAATTTTACAGTGAAGAGAAGCAGATAATTTTATTCATTCTTCCAGTGATTAATTCTATTTGTGTGGATTATTTCATTCGACTGAAAGGTAGCTAATGTTTTACCATTTACATTTGGATGGATAGCATGCGTATCAGATACTGTAGAGAATCAAAATAATCATCAATAAATTGTCACATTCATTTGAATTCATATTACTTTATTTATAATAGTAATGTTTTTGATAGATTTATTTATGACATCTGTTTGTATTTGAGAATGCATTTGTTTGTTTATCCACTTAATTATCGTTAAGTGTATTCATTGATAGAAGGTAAGAAAAATTAGTTTAGTATTCAAACTGATGTCGAACTAAACTACCATCAAAGTATGGGCAAACTATTTCATTCCTCTAAAGTTTGCTATTTTATTTTGATTTGACCATGTTTGAAAATTTGTTCTATGGGGATTTCATTTCGATCTAATACAATTAATTTTACAAAATTTGTGTTATTTATATTTGAACAAAGAACAAAAACATTTCTTATATCTATTTGCTAAAGACGAAATATTGAATCTCTAACACATGTCTTTGTTTAGCACTAATCACATTCTAGTTGTGGATATTCGGCAACCACAAATTGTTTATTACAATGATTTGTCATAAAATTTCTGAATTTATTTATTCTAAATAAGTTTACAGGTATAGAAGTTTTAATTTATTTTTTTGACTTTCAAACTTTAGTCCATGCTAGAATAGAAAAAATAGAAGAATTTCTCTGAAATCTCATTATTTAAGCGTCTCTTCAATATATTGTACTATCATTTCTCTAGGAACATCATTTCCTTCGACTCGCTGTTATTATATGATGACAAAGAGAAATCATTGGAAATTGTAAGTAAATCTAAATACTAACTATCTGCATCATATGTAAATACATATAAAAGTAGAAAATCATAATATTGACAACGATATTCAATTATTTGATAAAAAGAAATATTTTTCTTTCTTTCAAAAGTTTTCTTCTTATAAATAATCTACAATATCAACCTTAGAAATTGAGCATTATATTTTTTTATGTTGCCGTTATAACTTAAAATGTTACTCGTACATTTACATATCGAAACAATTTTAGAAGATGTCACAAAAAATGAATGGTTTAAAGATCAGTTTGTTCTGTTTTGAATGAATAAATATTTATATTCACTATTGGAATAATTAAATTTGTAATATATTATTCTCTTTTGCAAAGAATTGTCTTTTTAAAGTAGACAAAAGTTCAAATAAGAATTTATTGAGAAATAGCACCACGATGATTATCAAATATTGTTGAAATATATTAAATGAAAACAATCCATTTTTTTACACTATCGTTTTGCAATAGTAGAATTACCAGAAATTCAAACGAAAATGTTAGTAGAACTTTACTATCATCATTATGTGATGTGATATTCTTCTTGCAAATTAAAATCAAATATACTGAATCAGTTGTCGAAATGGTACAATTACTTAAACATTCACCAGAATATCGTATGGACTCAAAATTTTGAATAGAGTCTAGTCTGACTTCAGTCAATTGAGTGATAGTCCAACTGGCTTTCTAAATTTTTTATTTGGCAGTCGTGTGTCTTATGAAGCATATATTAAGGATAATTTTAATTGATGAGTTACGAGTAATAATGTTTGTATTTTCTTAATAATTTATATAATACACGCAAAAAGTGTTAAAATAGAGCAAAAACAATGTATTTGTCACTCACTTCTAAATGTCCTTGAGTACAAGGATATCTTGACCGTTTTTTTCGTCATCCATCTTTTCGTGGATAGTAGGCTCTTGTATATGTAATAGACATAGACTGCACCATTTGTACTGATAGTTATTCAGTAAAAAATGATGAGAACACATTACTACTCGTTCTCTATCTATAAGTGTTACTGATACCTATATTCAATTATGTAAATTCAGTAATTGAAACATCGATCGTACCTCATGACCATTGAGATTATTATTCAAAAATGAGACCAATTTAGAATGTTCAACTCATTTTTATTATTAAAAATAATGATACACAATAGAGCTTCATATGGAC